AAGCGTATCCGCTGTTGGGGAATTAATACTTGCATATCGTAAACCAATCATAGTAGAATAGTCAAGCCATAACAGTACCAATGATATTAATAGTTATTAGTCATCCGCGCAGGTTCGGGCTTCCAGGTTCGGGGGATGTGCGTATGTCCCCTCCATCTCCGCGCATAATCATACGGCCGGTAGGGGACGAGCAGTAAGGCCTTTGCCCCCGGCGACTTAAAAGCAACCTAGGCACTTAATTATAGTTTGTATATCCCCAACCCTACTTATACGTAGCAGTAGACCCGAAGCCCAAAACGATTCAACTAAGGGCTTTTTGGCTTTCACCCTTACAAGTATTTAAGAAGCCCTCAACACAAGACGACTACACTAAGGCATTTGTTATAGCCGGTTATATGACCCTACTACTAAACCCAAAAAGCCCCAAAACTCGGGAAAACCCTAAACCCTAAACCCCAAAAGCCCCAAACTCGGGGCGACTCCCTCTCGCAGGCTACATGGCCTCCTCTTCACCGTAGAGCGCCTTGGCCCCTTTGCGCAGCACATCTCCACACCGCCTGACCCCTCTGCTTCTTGGATAGCCGATGGGAGAACTTTAAACTTTTTGGCTTTATATAGTAAGTCTATCCGAAAAAGTTTGAACTTTCTTGGGCCTGGTTATTGAAGAAAAGAGGCTTTGCCTCTCTTGCCACCACCGGCCGTAGCGTCGGTGCCGACCACCACCCTTCGGACTTTTGAGGACGGGGCGTCTTGGAGGGGTTGGGGGTGGATCGGAAGCCTGCACCAATGACTTAAGTACTTGGCTTCGATGGCTCGTGCCCTAAACTTTGCCCTAAACACTAATATTTATATACCCCTACTACGTCGACCTCCCAAAACCCGGAAACCCTACACCCTAATTTAGGTTTAGGGTTTAGCAATTTAGGGTGTAAGGTTTAGGGGTTTCGGGGCCTGGCCCCAAATAACTTGCCGTGTTGAGGGCTTCCTCAAATAGCCTACCTCTTTAGGGTTTAGGGTTTAGGGACTTATATCAGAAATTCAACACAAGGAACCCTGAAAAGGTAGGCTCTTTGGGGGAAGTAGGGTTTGGGCTGAAGGCCACCCGTAAGGTTCCAGAAGGTGGGTAATAGGCAACCCAGATATTTCAGCACACCTCTGTAAACAGAATGTCCACCCCAGACCTTAAGCCCGCGTTCTCTGATGTAACTAGAGGAAGGGCCGCAGGTTCATATCCAGAAAACAGTCCACGAACGCTCCCTTGAGCCCAAGAAACATCAAGTGGGCGACATCCTGTTCTAACTATACTATAGGGGCCTTAGTAATTACCTACATTATTTTTTGGGGGGGGCGGGGGTCCTTATTATTGTTATAGTATACTGGGCCCTAAAACCTTATTCTAATCATGAAGGCCCCCCCATTACCTATATGTTCCTCATACTCCTACTCGGAGCCATTACGCTCCGAAGCTGTTTCTTTTGCAGGATTCATCTGGAGGCATCGTGGCCGGCCTGGCAGACAGCACATTTTTTATGCGTGGTTTGAGGTAACACTTCCTAAGCCCACAACCTTGTCAACCCTGTAACACCTGTAAGCCCAAAGCCTTCAGAACCCAAAGCCCTAAGCCCAAAACTCTAAACCCCTTAACCCCTAAAGCCCTAAACCCTAAACCCCAAACCCTGGCCCTATCCCCTGAATCCTTAACTCGAAAACCCTAAAACCTAACCCCTAAAGCCCTAAAGCCCAAAACCCTCCCTAAACCCTCACAGTCCCAAAGGGTCCAAGTACCATTATAGTGGGTACTTAGCACTTGGACTCTTTAGGAGTACCATGCACCACCGACTTGACCAGGCTGAGGGAGGACACAGTGCCTACTTTGTCGCCGCTCGGTGCTTATCGGATTCTGTATCTCAGGGGCTCAGGGTTTAGGGAACCTCTAAACCCTAAGCTGGTTTCGTGTTAGGGTTTAGGGAAACCCTAAACCCTAAGCCCTCCCTAAACCCTAAACCCTAAGCCCTAAAGGCCTTACTGAGGGTTTCAGGGTTCGGTTTAGGCTGGGTTCTCTGTCGCAGGAGGCGAGCCTTGAGTTTCGGTAGCATTCCAGTTCCGTTTAGGGTCCGAAGTGCCTAAATACCCTAAACCCTAAACCCTGAACCCTGAACCCTAAACCATGTGGTACATGGGTGTGCGATAGTAGGTTTTGCAGCTTAGTCTCTGGGAGAGTGCTAAAGCACTTGGACCTTTCGGGATCGAGTTATTGATTTGTAGGTTGGACAATCAAGCCAACGTGCGGTTCGAGTCAAGCCCAGTGCATGAACTCAAAATCCTGAAACCCCCCAAACCCTAAAGCATCCTAAACCCTAAACCGCTAAACCCTAAAACAAATCCTGAACTTTAACCCTGAACTCCTGAAATCTTAAAGTCTAGAAGCCCTAAAGTTAAAGGCTTAATTCGAGCACTCCTAGATAACGAGTGCCTTAGTTGGAAGTCTTGACCAGGCCCTACGCTCCAGACTCCTAGTATGAAGATAGAGGCCGTTGTATTAGACCCCCAGGGTTGAGGGTTGAGGATTTAGCGTTTAGGGTTTAGGATTTTCTTGGTTTGGGGTTGAGGGTTTAGGATTTAGGGTTTAGGGTTTACGTAGCCCTACAGTAACCCTGGAAAAGGAACCCCATTGAAAGCATGAAGGCCGCTACATCAGCCCTACGCGAAGACCCCACCTTTCAAGCTAAGGCGCTTCTTGGGATTCCCGTGTCTTGGAGGTTTATTCAGTGACTTTGTGGATGTTACGTTTTAGGGTTTTAACTTCAGGTCCGGGGTTCCAAATTTTGCGGGCTCTGGGGTTTAAGGGTGTTCGGGTTTAGGGTTTAGGGTTTAGGGTTTAGGGTTAGGGTTCAGTGTTCGGGTTTAGGGTTTTCGAGTTGAGAGTTTAGGATTTGGGTATTTACAAGTTTGGTGTTCGGGTGGAGGCCTTAGCGTCATGAACCACGGGCATAAACAAGGATGGCATTCAATTGCTGTTGCTACTATGTCGAAAGTCGAAACCCTAAGCCCTAAACCCCAATCCCTAGACCCTGTCTATTCTTCGTACTCGTGCCAGCTAGAGCTTGCCAGGTTGCCAGTTGTCCTTGCAGGGTTATCTGCAGCATATAACAAGGTTCTAATGTAGGGGCCTCAATAATTCAACACTCTATTAGAGCTATAATAAGGAACTCCCGAGACAGTATTATAAATTATTTAAATTTAGGCCCCTACATTACGTGCCGTGATCGGGAATCTAACTGCAGCTGCGGTATTTCTGAGCTTCTTAGTACGCATGAAGCTTCAGGTTGGTCTAGTGTTCTTATGACACTACTGTCCTTTGCAGAGTTGTAACTTTCGGTGCCACGAAATTAGGGAGCTTGTCCGTAGAAGACGTAGTTCAGAAAATGTTTCAGGTCCTGGACTAGTGATTGGAGCTCCGAATTGTCAAACCCCTAAATGGGTAGTTCTCTAAATTAGGGTCCCTTTTGGGGATCCGTATTATAAGGGATGCCGTACTATATTGGGGACCTAAAAAGGGACCCTAATTTAGAGAACTACCCAAATCCCTGATGAAGCTCGAACCACCCTCAAAACCCAAATGGCTGAAGCCCCAAAACATGCAAAGACTGCAGCTTAAAGCAGCAAAGAAGTACAGGTATCCGGCTTTATTCTTATTCTCGCGTTCCTGGCGCTGATGCGATTGCGTGGAAGTTCTTTCCAGGACCTGTCCACAGATGTTTCAGGGTTTAACATAGGGGCCTTAATGATTAGCCCGAAAGCGGAGGCACTCCTTTCTTCAAACCAAAAGCCTGCGTGTTGCAAGTCATGCTTACATATGCTGAACATCCCTGCACTAACGCACTCCCCCTTCAGCAATCCGCTGAACGCAGGGAGGTTAGGCCTTGACCAGCACTCAAAAGAAGGGGGTCCTGCGGCTTTACATGTGTGACCCCCTTTTCATAGAACGCTCCACGTTCCAAGCCGCAAATTGCGGCGACATTCCAAGACTCAAGGCTTTACATCAGGCATTCAGAAACTGGGCGGTGTGTCCTTTCGCCCCTGGTGCTAATTTCAGCACTGTTCTTCCTTTCCATTCACGATCAGCAACGGGACGAGCGGGTTTGTGAAGCTCCCGGTAGTTGTCCACGATCTTCTTGGTTTCCCCATTGGCAAAGATCGCGTAGGTGACGCGATCTCCCGAGAGCTGAGCCTTCGTGGGTCCTGCTGCAGTTTGTCCCGGCACAAACATCAAAGTACGGGGAGTCGGATGCCAGCGGATTACTACGCCCTCAGCTTCCTTCCACTCCCAGTAGTCGCGTTTTCCGGTCGGCTTGAAACTGTAGTCGTTGTAGGTACCGTGCACAGTCTCCAGGGGCTCGAAAGGTGCGGGCACTGGAGGTGTAGGTGGACGTCTTTCCCCGGTAAGACGACTTCTTTGACGCAGCCCACTTGAGGATGCGGCCGAGGAGTCGTCGGGTGAGTCTACCTCTCGTCGATCAACCACTCCCTCAGAAGTGGCTGACCTACTCGAGCCGGTCTCTGCCTGAGGACTCGCAGGGCCTCGGTGTTCACCCGGCCATAGTCGTGACAAGACCCCCTTCACGCACTCCCAAACCGCAATCACGGCAACAATGCAAATCATGAAGAAGCCGTAGTCGAAGGGATCCACAGAACCATTTCCGGTTTCCGCACCTCTTGCACCATCGACCAGCGAGACCAAACATAGGAGCGCGAGCAGTTTCTTCACCTGAACTGGATCCGCTCCTGTAACGATACGGCGCTTCCTCACCACTCGCATCTTGTCCACAAGAAAGGCAAAACGATCCGAAGAGAGAGGCTTAGTCCCCAAATCGGCGATCATCAGCCGTCCATCAATGTGGTAGGCGACCCAGTCGGGGAACTCAAGCAGTTCCCTAATCATGTTTCCACGGATCCTCAAATGCCTAGTGCGCCAGCTACCAGCAGCACAACGGCACACCGACAGCGCCGCCTGGGAGTCGGAGCAGATCACCTTCATCACCTCATTGGCTGCTGCTCCAGTGCGGATCATCACCTCGGCGACTAACTGCTCGATAGACTTCATACACGTGGTGAGCTCGCAGATGCCAACCAGTTCACTTTCCGCTGTTGACATAGTCACGAAAGCTTGCCGGCTACTGGTCCAGGCCACCAACCCGCCCATGACAAAGATCATGATGGCCTGCTGACTCCTTCCAGAGTTCGGTGCAAAGCTCGCGTCACAGAAGCCCTCGATGACGATGCCCGCAGAGGATACCTGAGCATCCTCGGTCAACTGGGCCTCCTTTTTGTACAAGATTCCGGCCTCGGGAAAGCGCTTGAGGTAACGAATAAGGTGGCCACCTCGGTACACCGCCTCCTTTGGACTCTTGCTGATGGCCTGTGACAGGAGGTTCACAGCATACAGTATCTCCGGACGGCAACGACCGGCCAGCCACTGAAGCTCGCCCGCCATGGTCTGAGCTGCTCGCACAAAATCCGCCGTGCTCTCGTCCGCCTTGATCACGAAGTCCTCTGCATTGAGCTGGACTGGGGCCGGAGTTTCCTCAAAACCATCGAGGTCCTTGTAGCGAGCCAGCAAATCCTTGGTGTAGCTGTCCTGGCTCAACAATAGACCCTCATCGGTCCTCCGAATCTCGAAGCCATTGAACGACACATCATCCCACTGTGGCTCCGTGCACTTCCATGTTCGAGCGACCATTTGAGCCGCCTCAGAAGCCACATTCTTTTCTCCAGCAATCAGAAGGTCGTCCACGTAGCAGATAATGGCCCCGGCACGTCTTCCACCCACCATGACATACCACAGGCTTCCATCGATCTCGGAGGGGACAAAGCGAACCTCACCTTCCGGAACCTTTCCCTTCATTTGGGCCATTGTCTTGTTCCTGTACACCTCCCAAGATCGAGGAGAAGTCACCATTCCATAGAGAGCCCGTTTGACTCGCCAAATGGTTTCTCGACACACTCCTCCCAGGAGAAACATCTTCGGCACCTGAACCAACGTAGGACGATCTTCTTGAAATAGAAGAGGAGCCAGCAAAAAGGCGGTGCGCACGTCCATCGCACATAGACTCCAACCCATCAACGCAACCATCCGAAGGAGGACCCTGGTCAACACCCCATCCGCTCCCGCTGCGTACTTCTGATCTTTGGAGAAACTCTGCCCCAGAAAATTCCCACAGATGACCGCTCTGCTCTTCAGTCGTCCGGTGAACGCCTTCACAGTGTGCACAGTCTTCCCGGGCACCAAGTCAAACTCCTTTCCTTCTTTCTTCCACTGTTCCAGAGTTTCCGGCGGGAACGGTTCGACTGCTTCATTGTCTCTCACGAGGGACTCGTACTCGGAGAGCATGCTGGGCACCCATTTCTCAATGTCCCGGCGCACAATCTCGATGGGGATCGTCTTAGTGTGAAGGGGAGCCTCCTCGTCGTCCACCGTCGCCTCAGCCTTGCGAAGGCCAGCACACTGCGGGTCGTCTTCGACTTCCTTGGCCAACCCCAACACCTCCTCCAAGGCCCTTCGGCTGGACATCCACTGGGCAAGAGGTCCTTGGCACTCATCACCGTCTTCGCTTTGTCGAATAAGGTGGTCTCTCTCAGCATACTCCTCCTGCACCAAAGCCAGACGAAGTCCATCCAAATAGGCCTCAAACAAATCCCACCCCACTTCCAACGGAACTTCAGCCCCGACAATCTGGTAGGAGACATCCTGTTCCTCCGCGACGGTCTTGAGCTGCGCTACCTCAGGAGGTCCATACGCTCCCCACTCTTCCTGTAGCCACGACTCCATCCCACCATCGCCCAAAACTAGGTTGCTGTCCACCCCATTCTCGCCCGAGTCCAACTCATCAGGAACAGGGTCTCCAATGTAGAACTCCTGTGGACCACTGGCAGACGCCCGACAGATACACAAGGACGGATCTATTTCCTGGCCTTTGCACACGCACTGAAA